TTGGCTAATAATCGCGCAGAGTAATAAAATGAAAATATATATTTTTTTTTTGAAGTCGCATACATACAATTAAAAGGCAATTACTGTTGAAACAAAAGAAGTAGTGTTTATTGCTTATTAAATTTTTATGTTAAATTAAATTTAATATTTTTTTAGTTTTTACATTTTTAAAATACCAGCACTTCACAAAGCTCTCTCACAACCCATAACAATTCCTGCTGAACTTGTTTGAGTTGACAGATTTCAGCGCGTGGCTGAAGACATAATTAACTGAAGCATAGCGTGTAAAAAGCAAAAAATAGATAAATATTTATTATTTAAACTAGTCGCCAGTTGAACTTTGCTCGGTTAGTTATTTGCACAACTTAATAAGTGCATGTAGAGTCGGCAACACTTAAATTCTATTCCGGTTATTAATGGTGTACAACAAAAAAAAAAACAATACAACGTTTCTGCTAATACAATAAGAACGTTTCTGCTAAACGACAGGAAAAGAAAGAAGGCACGAGTACTTAAGAAATTTAATGTACAAAAATGGGTGTGTTCAGAAATGCATCAATCCAAAGCATCATACGTATTTATTTCTAAACTGTAATTGATGGAAATATGCAATATGCGCAACCACGGTTAAATGCCTAATTGGAACTTAGTTGCGTATATAAGGCATTTGCATCAGTTATAATTTAGAAGTAAAAGAGACTGATGCTTTGGCTTGATGCATTTCTGAACGCACCCAATCTACGTACGGCTTGGCAAAGCATTGGGCGATTCAGTTATATACATAAATGGATTAGGTTAGAAATTAAAAATTTATTTCATTTCATTTTATTATTTTGTCGAGACCTGTAAACGACTTTTTCATAACCAATTCGGAAATAGTTCACGACTATTTCTTTATCTTTTCGTGACTACTTCAAAACTACCCCAAAATGATCCCCAACTAGTCTATAAAATTGTCCGGGAGTAGTCCTAAAGTGGTTCTGAATACAATGACATGAAATTAAAGTTTAATCTCTAATCTAACGTATTTATGTATGTAATTTAATAATTTCGAACAAGTCTTGAAACGTTCCCGAAAAGTTCCTTTACTAGTCCCAAACTTATCTTGAACTAGTCCGGAAATGGTTCTGAAATAGTTCTAAACCAATTTTTAAATGATCCCGATCTAGTCCCGAAACGGACCTGAAATAGTCCTGCACCCGTCCCGAAATAGGTCTGAGCTAGTATCGAGATGGTCCAAAAACGGTTGAAAAAGTCGTGGACTCTTCCCGAAATAATTCCAAACAAGTCTTGAAACGATCCCGAAATAGTAAAATAGTAGTAAACTAGTTCCGTAAGGTGCCGAACAACTTTTGAAACGGTCCTGAAAATATTCTGAACTAGTCACGAATTGGTCCTAAACTTGTCCCGAAATGGGTCTTAAATACCACTGAACTACTCCAGAAATGTTCGTTTGTACATGCAGATTTTCATTAGCTACATTAGAAACAGCTACAAATTGTCTGCTGGGTTAACGGATATCTTACAAATATACATCAATACAACTTTTACTGCACTGATCTCCCGAAAGAAAGAAGATTGCCCCAAACAAGCGCGTGACACTAAAAAATCTTCCTGCTTCGAGATGCTTAATTAAGAAAATATACTTTTTCGACATTACGCAATGCGTGAAACTAGTTGAATATTCAGCTGAATAGCTGCACATAATCCTAAGCGAAAACTAGAGTACTTTATTAGCATATCAAAGAAGAACTATTTAAGTAAATGAAAATAAGGCGACTACGCAAGTTTGTTCCATTTAGCTCTGCAGCCAACAGGTTTTCTTATACATACGTCGTCCAGCAAGAAGACAAAATAACAGATTAAATTACCACTCAACGGAAGTGTTTTTATTATTGTCAATATTAGCACTTCACATGGCATATTGTTGCTGGTGCTTAATTGCATGAAACATCGTCTTCATATTTTTCTTTCATTTGTTTATTTTTCTTCTTCGCTTGCCAACGTAGTATTTTCCTGTACTTCTTGTTTTGAATAGACAATATTTTTTAAGCAACAACAAAACAAAAAACAAGCAAATATTTATTTCTTTTGTAGCTATTCATTGTCAAAAAAAAAACTTCACACAACACTTTGACATTTGCAGTTTTACGCATACAGTATTCATCAATGTTGCGAAACATTTGCATGCTGCGCAACATAACTGCAGACACGTCTTGCGAAATGTGGGACACAGCAGTCTGCTGCTAGCTAACCTCTTGCAAATATTTGTTTTAACGACGTGTAAAGTTGTTAATTCCATATTTTGGAGGTCACTTGCTATTTTTTGCTTTCAGTTTTATTGATTTCTGCATTGCTCTTAAATTATTTACTTTTTGATTCGTTTTGGTTAAAGTATTGGTGCAATATTGGTACTCAAGCTTCATTTTTAACTTTTCGGTAGATTTGTGTCTATTCAAAATGATGTACATACATACGTGTGTACATTAGCACACATTTTGGAACGAATTTCCGATGTCTGTGTTCTCACGTGCATACAGCCTAATGTGATACAAAAATAAACCAAGATAAAATTAAATTAAATTTATTTTTTCGGGATACATACCAAATGCATAGTGCATTTTCCAGAACCGGGAAGGTGGTTCACAGTCTTCAGTTTGTCTACTGTGCTTAGCCAGCACCAGGAACCATTTCTTATTCCAGCGCATTATAACAGGGTTCGCCACTCCTGATGCAAATTCCTTGTGCCCTCTGGCCTATGTAGTTTCCTAGTTACAGACCCAGCATACATTGCTGGAATCGAAGCATATAAAGCACCGCTTTTTTTCCAACCGTTAAACGTATTTTGCAATTAGTTCACACCCTCAATGATGCGGTTTAAGCCGGTCAGTAGTTTTTCCTTTTTTGGTTAGGCCAGGCATAGGCTCTAAACTACTTCCTCCAGTTCTCCTTACTGCATCTCCAACTCGACAAAAAAGTTGTGGTGGTGTTTATTCGGAAATATTAGATACATCTTTCGGCTCACGTCTTCTTGACTACTGCAGTGTTTTATCGCGAAACAAATGGGTTTCTCAAAGGCCGAATTTTTACATTGTCATTGACTTAAATCCCTGGGGAAAATGTCGCTGCCCTCAAAAGTAGTTGCTCTATGTATTCAATCTCGTAAATATGTAGATGACATAGGTATTCTCCACACGCATGGTGTGGATTCTTGGCAATTGTGTCATCAAGAAAAATTGCAAGGCTGGCGAACTTGCGTGTCATAGAATGGCATTTATTCGTACAAATATGAGGGATACACATGATATTTCTCTTCACAGATGTAAACTTGTAAACTCACTGTTAAAATTGCCTATGAAAGGTGGCACATGGAAATAACTTGGCATATTGACGAACAATGCTTAATGCCCAATGCCTTTAACTACTTCGCCGAAGGAGGTAAGATAGTAATTGGAGCTCTTGCCGGACATTGTCTGACTGGATTACACACAGCCAGAAGGCGCACCGGGAAACGACTACTGCAGAAATTGCATGGATGAGGAAAAAATTCACCTACCGCCTACTATGTCATTGCACAACACCAACAAATTGGAGCAAAAAAGCTCTTGGCAGTTATTTCTTCGACCTCACAGTGTATCCACCTTTTTGTAAGCACTAGGAGATTAATAGAGGAATGAGATACATTTAAGACCCATGCGATTTCGCAAAAGGGTCTTGGGTCTAAGTGAGAACCACTGGGGACCTGCCAAACCTAAGTTCAGGTTGCAGATCTCTATTGCCGCCATGAGTTAGAGGTCTGCAATGCGTTCTGAAGTGCTCTTGTTTGCGTAATTGCCTTGACTTTAATGTTAGCTTTTTGTGGCTTTGTTTCTCCCTCAGCTGTCTGCTTTGAGGTCTTTTGTTTCAGCATATTTTTGTGTCCGTGCTCTAGGCTTACTTCCTATGGGATTCTCTGATTTCTTGCGCTCATCTTCGGAGTGTTGCATCCACATTCTTTATTTTTGTATCGGATTTTATTTTCCCATTGTCTCTCTAGGAAGTTTCTCCTTTACTTGAACCTTGGCTGACGAGCATTTTTCAAACTAAGCCACTGCGTTCTTAGCATGTTCACGTTTTTGTTGTCTAGGCGTAGACTCCTTTATCTTTTTAATAACTACTCTATAATTTTCTAAGGGTTATCCTTTAGCAACCCTCATCATTGAAGTGAATTTATGTCTATCTATCACGTAATGGCGACGTGTGATGTGCCCCTTAGTCCTAAGTTGAGAGCTGGATGTTTTACATCTTTTCTGAGTATTCCTAAGTTTTTGGGTTTAAGTCTGGACGTGATTTAAAAATGTGTTGTTGGTGGTTTTAAAATGTGTTGTTAGCAGAGTCTTGAGGCGAACTCGAAAATGCCTATATTATTTTTTGTAGTCGACTAACAGTCTAAATAAACTGCGTTCCGAAACAGAGCTATAGGGATAATTAAGTAGCGTGGTGCGAGAGAAAAGACTATAGGGACAGGACTTCGGAGAGCAGTCCAACGTACAGGGCCGTCTGATATTTCTGCTCTCCGAGGTTGAAGAGGACCATAATTTAAGAAGAACTCGGAACTCTTTGAGGCTATCTAAGCCGAGCATTCGATCTCTACCTTCAACGTAATGAAGAGGTAGGATATTTTAACCACAAGCGAAGTAATCCGAACGGCTTCGGCACGGTTACACTGAAGGAACTAGCTGGAGTCGCCAAAAACTGGGGAGGGTTTAAGTACTAATGGGGTTAGATCAGGAAAAATGTTATACGGGGCATAACAATGTGCCTATCAGACCAACGGATGAAGTCTTAATAAGTCGCTCTGCGTAAATAATAATTTTGGAGCTCTTCGCCTGCACGCCCCAATCTAATTAAATTAATCGCTATTTTTTATGTTTCCAATCAATTTATTAGTATTAACATTTGTTACCCTTTTTCTTTTTTACCTCTCACTTAACGCCACTACTCTCTTTCTCTTCTTCCAGATGATGCTCATGCAGCCCACACCCCAACAACGCGTCACCATTCGCCAGGAATTGCGCGAACCCGAAAATCAATCGGACATCGATCGCGACATTAAACTTGTACGTGAATGGTTGGACACACAACCGCATCTGCCCAAGGATATGGACGATGGCCGTTTGGCCACTTTCTTGCGTGGCTGCAAATTCAGCTTGGAGAAGGTGAAAAAGAAGCTGGACATGTACTATACGATGCGCAATGCTGTGCCAGAATTCTTTGCCAATCGTGATATTAGTCGACCTGAATTGGCTATGGTATTGGATTACTTGTAAGTCAATGCATTCTAAATACACATACACACAGACACAGCAGCTCTCTCTCATTCACTTTTTCGCTCTCTCTCTCTTCATCTTCCAGACACTGCCCTACTCTGCCTGGTCTCACGCCTAACGGTCGCCGCATCACCTTTGTACGCGGCATCGATGTCGACTTCCAAGCGCATCACATCAATGACGCCGCCAAGGTGGCGCTCATGATCGGCGATATTCGTCTGCTGGAGGAGAAGGTCGGCATTGCCGGTGATATTTTCATTGTTGACGCCACACTCGCTTCGGCTCATCATTTTGCCAAATTCACGCCAACTGTGATTAAGAAATTCCTCATCGCCGTGCAAGAGGGATACCCGGTGAAGGTGAAAGAGGTGCATGTGTTCAATATTTCGCCATTGGTTGACACCATCTTCAACTTTGTGCGTCCCTTCGTAAAGGAGAAGATCCGCAATCGTATCACCTTCCATAGCAACATCGAAAGTCTGTACAAAGCGGTGCCACGTGACTTGTTGCCCGACGAATATGGCGGCAAAGCTGGTTCGGTGGTCGAGTTGAACCAACAGTGGAAGAAGAAGTTGGAAGAATACACACCTTGGTTCAAGGAACAGGAAGATAAGAAGGCCAACGAAGCGCTGCGCCCTGGTTCGCCGAAGACTACCGATGATCTGTTCGGCGTGGAGGGCACTTTCCGGCAACTTAACATCGATTAGGTTGCTCGGCTCACTCGTAGTTGAGATTAGTGCTAGGATAGAACGGTTTACGGATACGGTTGCGTTCCGCGGCTTTCTCATGCTTTCGCCCTGGAGCTAGCTGCTGCTTTTTGTGCTCAAATTCGTATTATAACTTAAATAAACCAATGACATCGCTCGCTCCATATGTATAAATGACATTCGCTTTGTGTGTGTATACAAACACAAATACAATTTATTTTTTAATACTTACTTATTTTTTACCATTATTATTATCATGTTTTATTAATAGTGATCCGTATTGCCTCGTTCTTTTTTTGCTTGAATATGCCTTTGTGGACATGTTTGAAACAAATTATTAGCTACATTTATAATTTTAATTTTATTTCATTTTGTTATTGTCTTAAGTGCGCTTACCTATGTAAGTGCACTGGCCTCATTTTTTCTTTTGTACTATTTTTCGTTTATGTTTAATTGAATAAAAATATGTTAAAAAATTTTCATTGTGTTTTTGTGTGGTTTTTATGTTAAAAATTAACAGAATCTGCACTTTTCCTACCCCAAAGCCATTAAAAAAAATAATAATAACAATAATTTTCTATGATAGCTGACTAATGAGTGCACACTTTCCAGAGTGTACTGTGGAGTCTGGCAAGGCTCTCATCGCCTCTGGACTGGAATCTATGGATTTCATTGATGTAAAATGTGTAGACTGAGCCATAAGGTCCTTCCAGCTCTACAAATCCCCCGGAATGTATGGTATTTTCCACACCGAACTTCAGTCTATATACATCAAACATTTTATGTCCGCCGCTTGTCTCCATCTATAAGGCTTGTCTTAGACTTAGTTTCATACCTAAGGACTGAACACTGGCGAATGTTGTGTTCATTCCCACGTGAAGCCAAGCGACCTTCTACCTACAAGCCTTAGTTCTTTCCTTCACAAGGTTCTGGACGGACTACTGGACTTACAGATCCAACAGGAAATGGATATGAGTAAACTATTTAGGTGTCGGCATGCCTACTGGAAAAACAGGTCTGTGGACACAGCTCTTCATAGCACCATGAAAAGGCACTAACATTTAAGGGATTTGCATTAGGCATATACCTATATATCGAGGGGGCCTTTAATAATGTTCCCCCAGAGGCTGTTCTCCACGCCCTGACTAACCTCTCCGCCTTCTAGACAATAGATTTAAGGGTCAAAACAAAGTGGAGCGGCGAGCAAAGCGAAGAGCTAGCATCGAACAAAGCTTCAATTACAAACGTGTGTGTACGCTTTGCTCTTCACTATGCGTTTTCCCATTAAAACATATGCGTTGGAAATTGACAGTTTGCTCAATGCTCTTTGCTCGCCGCTCCACTATGTTCTTACCCTATGGCGGTGTCCTTTCCCTACTCCTTTGAAATCTAATGGTTGCCTGATTTTCCCCTGACAGCAATTGGCAAGCAACCCCAAAAAAAAAATTTTATTAAAAAATGGCGCGGACCTACAACATGACAATGAGCGTAATAATGGCAGCAATTATTATCGATACTGGTTAGGTAATGGTAGCCAATATCATGGAATTGGGTGTTAAAAACCATTATATATATGTAAGATCTACAAACATTCCCAAAAGACGTTGTATTTACCTTTTGTAATGCTTCGAGAGCATTTCGAAAAAGGTTCTTCTGAAATTCGTTGTTTCCACATTTTCACCTCCACAAGAAAGTTTTGTTTCGAACATTCGATTACTCTTTCATAGAACGCAATCAATCCTTCAGTTTTTTTT